GATGATCTTGAAGGTCCTTTCCAACCTAGTGTTTCTGTGATTCTGTGATTCTGTGACATGGCGGGGCAGGCGCGAGCACGCGGGGCAGGTGCGAGCACGCGGGGCAGCTCTGAGCAGGCCTTGCTTCAGCACCCCTGCCCCAATCCGGGGGTGTGATACTGGGGGTCCAGGTCACCGCAGCTCCAAGCTGTGCCTGTAGAGGGGCTGTAGATAATCTTTCCCCTACAGCCCATCTCCCGTTCACCAAGGGCATCTCCTCCCCACACTTCTCCAGACTGCACGTGTGCAGGGTAAAGAGTTCCTGCCATTAAGGAAGATGCTGCAGAAGTGCCGTGGGGAGACCCAGGGAAGCACAGGCATTATAACATACCTCTGGCTTTCAGTCTTTGCATTTCTTCTGCTGGAACTTCAATGAGGTCTTGCCTGTCTTCCTCAGAGCTCTGGACCAGGTATGCCTCACTGCTCAGCTCCTGCCTGCTCAGCTCCAGCTTCCTGACCTCCATCCCTGTGGAGGAGTAAAACCAGGCACTGAACCAGGGTTCAGCCCTCCTCCAGAGCTACTGCTACAGCAAAATACCACAAGGACATTATAACCCCAGCCAAGACTCACAGCAGCAGCAGACAGATCCCTTTCAGTGCAAACCGTGTGCATTTGGGCTTGGGTTGTCTCCTGCACCCAAAGGTTTCTTACAATCCACATTGTGAGAGATGACTCCCACACTGTGACACTTCTGAACGGAGGGTATGGGGAGAAGACTGTAAGGTTAGCAAGAGATGAGCCAGAGGAGGAGAGGTGCCAGGAGTGGACTTGCAATGGGAACCAGATGGGATGACTAAGCTGGGTCCTGGTGAGATGCCCTCCCCGAGCTCTGCCAGTGCCACTCACCGACATTCCCATGCTGGATCGTGATCTTTGTCCTCCCTGAGGTAAGCAGTGGGGCTAAGTGTGACACCATTCTGTCGCAGAGCTCAACAACAGCCATGGGCCCTCTGATAACCTGCAAACACAGAGAGCGCAATGGAAATCAGCACCTGCATCACCAGCTCACACTTCCCACAGGTCACAAGAGTTTTCTTAAATGCTTGGTCCTTGGCAGTAAAAGAGAAGTTGGGACTCAAAGCTTTTTCTTTGCTTTTCTTTGATTTCTCCAATAAAGGATGCTCCCAGTTCCTTCAGCAATGGAGACAAGACTGGCAATGAGGGAAACTTGCTGGTCTGTATAAAAACCCATTAAACCAGCATGGAAATAAATAACTAAATAACCATATGAAAGAAAGTACTGATTTTTTAGACCTGACTCTTGATTCTTGCAGAGCTGTAGAACAACCATCCTCTCTTCCTGGAAAAGGTTGCACCCAGAAATAGGCTCTGCTGCTGGAAGTGCAGCAGGTGACTGGCCCCATTGCTCAAGGTCCTGCGTGTGCTGGGCAGCACAAGTGCTACCCCGTAGTACACAAAGTCAAACCCTCTCTCCCTCAGCAGATACGTCTGCTGCACCAGCTAAACTGGGCCAGAGCTGGTTTTATGCCACTATCGATAAGCTGTGAGTAATTGTGGCCACGGAGACTTAAGCTAAGCGATGAGGTAAACTTGAACTATTCAGCATCTTTTCGTCTCTAGAGGTCCCTGGCTTGGTTCCTGGAGCACTGGCCAGGCCAGACGCTGTCACACATTTCCCAGAGACAGGTGGGGAGTGCAGGCCATACAACAGACACAAAAGACCCGCGTGAGAAGGGTAGAAACCAACGGAGAAATTCCTGATGGGGGTGGGATGATGGAAATCCCTCACACAAAGCCTGACCGTGTTTTGAACAGCGTGGGGGCTGATGAAAGATAGGTCCTTGGCAGCCCACCCATGGAAAATACAACAAACTGTAAAGTGAAGGGCATTGCCCTGCCAGAGACAGCAGGATGTTGGAGCAAGGAATCTACAAAGCACGGGGAATCTGCAAACTGTGTGTAGTCCCATAAATCTAGGCCAACAAAGTGGAGAAACTTGAAGAGAGCTGAGACTCTGGAGGTGTTTGAAAGGAAGGCACCACTTGACTGCACTTGTTTGCAGACGAACTTATTCGCACCTCCAACACATGAGGCATCAGTAAGGCAGCTGGCCCTTATCTGAGCTGGCCAAAAGTCTCCATGCCCATGTTTACAGCATTTTCACAAGCTCCAGAATGCGGCCAGAAAGGCTACATGTGACCATGCAAGGACAGTCCTGACCCTGTGGCCATACAGCAGGCCAAGGAGCTGCACACAGAACAAGATGAACAGATGTGGCACACAGCAGCCAGAGTGCTGGTGACACTGTTACCTGGCTGACTGATGACCACGTTTCAATATTCTGCTCTTCCAAGATTAACTCAGTCACTTCCATGTAGTACTGGCCCAATTGCTCCAACATCTCCAGCTCCTCTCCCTCCTGGACTTCCACATCAGAAATTTGCTTTAGTAATTGAAGCACCACAAGGAGGTCAGACGACTCCAGCACGGGTGTCTCTCCTTCTCTCAGAATTGTTGCTAAGACATCAAGAGCACCAAGAGCAACAGAGAGGTTCATGTCTTGGACATCACTTGTGAAGACGTTCTCAGGAATCTGCCATGGAAAAGATGGTTTAGTTCAGCGCAGAGCCCTGATTCTGCCTGATCATCAGCTATGCCTTGGCAATGCCCTGCATGCCCTCGCCGGTGTGAGGACACCTGCCTAGCCAGCCAGGCGTATCTTAGGGGAAGGAGATCTGCCTTGGCATTTTGAACTCTCTTGTCCAGCCTCTCAACCTCAGTGAGACGAGTCAACCTGAAGCAACACTTCACTCTGATCACAGCACGAGTTAAAGCTGTATTGGTCACACTCTCTGACAGAAGCTGAGAAAAGGCCACAGGCATCACTGCTGGCAAAGTGACCTCAAACACCAGCAGGTGCCAGCAAGTCCACCCCAACAGCTCCTGCCCGCTCCCCATGCCAGCCGCCACTGCTGGGGTCGCGGGACTCACCACAGTCCTCTCTGCAAGCACGTTCACACGGCCGACAAGCGAATGGCTGGATTCCAGCTGAGCTTTTTTCAGTTGCCAGTATGCATCTGAGAATAAAACAAAAGCATAACCATTGCTGTGATGTCTAGCAGCGTGGTTAGCACATGCCATGTTCAAAGCCTGGGGAACGGGCCTCAGATGGTGGGTAAGTTTGTAGGACAGTCAGGACGAGGAGACTTCACAGCTGTATTTTATTTCTAGTACAAGATCCCGTCTGGAGAGACAGTCTAACACTTCTTTTCTGCCTCCTCCCTGTGTCACCCTGGCCAGCGGGTCTGGGGGATGCCTGGACTGGGAGTCACGCTACAGCATTGCATCCAGAAGCCATGTAACATGTACAACCACTGCTTAACTGGAGAACAGCAAAGTAACCTGTCAGAGTGCATGCAACTGAAGCAAAGTCACAGCTACAGCAGCTTTTGCATGCCATCTCTTCAGAGCAGACACAAGGCCTCCACATCACTCCCATCAGCCTAGCTAGGACCTCCATGAGCGAACGCCGTGGAAGTAACGAATAAATAAATAACAGATGCTGTACCCTTTCTGTAGCGACAGATAAAAGGCAAAGACTGCAAACAAGATGCGTAACTGAATCCACCGCTGCCAACTTCAAAAACTTGGCATTCCTCAACAGGCCCTGTGGAAACACACACAAACAGAAGGGCCAGGTCCCCCAGAGACACTCCATCCCCAGCAGGTACTACATTTCCTGCAAGCAATCCACAAACCCCGTTGAAGACAAAAGCAGACTGCTTTTCTGCGCACTGCCCCTTAAGCAGCCCCCGAGCCGGCGCAGAGCAGGGTCTGGGCTCAGAAACTGCTCCCGACCCGCCTGGTAAACCCGCTCCAGAAGGAACTCGGAGGAGGCGGCAGTGCCAGGTCCAGAGTTTGTGATTTTAACGTCGCGCCAGCCTGGCTGGGAGACAGAATCCCTCCTCCCAGCAGAGCATCGGAGCCCCGGGCGTGCAAACCCCAGGAAACAGCACCACTGACGAGTAAGCCTTTTCTCCCAGTAGAAGAGAGCACCTGGAAATAGCCCAGGACATGGGAACAGCTGCCTTTGCCAGGGTCATTGCAGGGGTCTTCATGACCAAGGCTTTAGGGATCACTGTGCCTCTAAGTACGATTTGTAAACTGCCCAGCCCAGCTCTGAGTGTGCTTCTGCTTTCCACAAACCGCACCAAACTCCCTCTCTAAGGATGGGATCGGCTGCTCGGACTATCCCTGCGTGCTGAGCCACCGCTGCAGAAGGGAGCTGAAGAGCGAGGGTAATGAGACTTACCTGGGCAAAGAAACTGGGCGGTCATTTCCTGAACGGTGCTTTCAACCTCCAGAGCATTTGAGCTCCACCCAAATACAAGGTCTTGTTCTACTACCCAGCATGACCGAACCTTCTCAATCTGCTCCACGCTGAGGACTTTCTGCCAGATGTGCAAGTCAGTGATGTTCCCACTGAAGGACTCCTTCTCCCTGAAGGTGCCCCCCAGGGAATCTTGGTCCTGCCCAATTATGAAGGTCCCCTGGCCATAGATGCCCTGGGGGGCAGACGGCCCCATAGCACACAAACCGCTGGCAGATGCCCTCCTTTTACCATCGGCATAGATGGCCCAGGTCCCGTTTTCCTGCTGCCAGGTCACACAGAAGTGATGCCACTGTCTATCAGCACGGAACACAGGCAGGTATGGGGAATGGTGCCCGTGGACTATGAGAGCAAATCGAACAAAGCCTTCCTCGTCGACAAAGCCTCGGAGCTGGAACTCATTAATAAAAGCCGGCACAGCATAGGAGAAGATGGTAGCAATCTCCTGGGTCCTGGTGTCCCACTGGAGGTGGGAGCAGGCTGTGACAGCAGGCAGTGCTGGGAAGTCAGAGAGCACCTTCACATATTTTGTGTCTGTTTTGTGTCCGAATACCAGGACTGGTACAATGTGGTCCCCTAGAATGAGAAATTTCAGCCAGCATAAAGGAAGAAGCACAGGCCAAAGCCTGCTCCTTTTCCATTGGGATGAAACCATCATTTTAATTTGCCTCCTACTCAAGCGAAGAACTCATGGGCCCCACAGGCAAGGACATCCTGTAAGTGTTCAGCAAGGCTTCTGCTTCCCCCGTGCCTGGAGGGGATCAGGAAGGCAGGCAAGCTGAGATTGCATCAGCAAGTGTAATTTCCAGAGACTTAGTTTTCTAGCAAACAGGATTGCAAACAGTGAATATGGAAGGAACAGCATGTTCTCAAGCATCCCATGCTATAGCAACCAAGAGCGTAGTCAAATAAGACCTTTGAGGCATCTGCCACGCGGTGCCTCGCTGCTGGGGAACACCCATTCTCCTCATCCTGTCTCTAACATCACTGCTCTGCAGGACCCACAGGTCACAAATGGTGAGGCTGAGCAAAGCCAGACCTGCTTCACAGGGAGATGGTACAGGAGGACAGAGCAGAGGAGCCCCTTTGCAACTCCCTTCTGTCACAATGCATTAAAAAATCTTGACAGTGACCAGCTGATGGGCTGGGATCACTGTTGTTCACACTGCCAACTCCAGCTTGTGACTAGAGGTCTTAGGTGTTACACAGTGACAGTAAAAAACGAGCGGCAAATTTTCCAGTCAGATTAATTTTTCAGAATGAAAAAGATCCAGCAGTGAACATGTCTCCAAATTGTCCAAATGCGCTTATACTCACGTCTCCGCTTTGGTTTGGGCAGGACACCATCCCTTTCATTTAGCCAGACAGAACCTCTGATGTGGTGGGACTGCAGCAGTTTGCTAAAGGAAGCTTGCTCACTGTCTCGGGGTTCAACGAGCAACTGAGCAAAGCGTTGTTCACAGTATCTGTCTGCATGCCACCAGTCCAACGCAGTGGCCACATATTCGTACATGTGTCTTGAGGTCTCAATCGTGACAGGAACAAAACCTGGAGAAAGACACACACAATATGGAGAAACAGAAAGCCTCTCCAAACCACTTTTGTGCCACATACGCTACAGGGTCAGTCTCTTGCAGCATCCCCAGGCATTTACAAACACCGCCTGGTGCACCCCAGGGGAGCTGGAGGCAGGAGCTCATTTCCGCATCCAGCCCTGGGGATGTTCAGTGGGCACAGTGTGACAGAAAAGTCCAGACTATACTGGACCTAAAGCGAGGGACATCTGTGAGTCTGCTCACAAACTGGATCGCTGGCCTAGGGCTGGAGACGACACACAGAAAACCCTGCTGAGCTCAGTCCAAAGGAAACGCTGGCTGTGGTACGCCCAGGGATTGCCCTCAGGGTAGCTTGTTCAAAGCAGTTATGTACGAGCAAATTTTCTCATTGTATCCCCACCTCCCAGCTCCTCCCAGCTTCTGCATTTGCAGCTGCAATTCGCAAGCACAAAATAATCTGTTTTGTTTGCAGTTACAGCAGCACAAGGACTAGCAGCTGAGCAGTACTTACCTGATTTTAGACAACAATTTCATAGTCAACCAAGCAAATACTTAGCTATGCAAATATAATTTCAGTGACAAAACACAGTATCAGAAAAAGTTTCTTTACCTTTGTTTCTGCCACTGGACACCTTTTTATGCATTGTTTCTCTGCGCTGAATACTACTTTTAAAAACATGCAGAAGTGCTGATAAAAACACTAACCTTTAGAAGTCTGATTCTTGTCAAGGGCTGCAAAGGCAAAGAGACTCCTGGAGAGACTACCGACCTGTTGGAGAGGATGTTTTGTAACATTCATATAAAGCATTAATATTATCTCAAATACTCAAATTATAGAAGTTACCATAAAACTCACCAGAAAGCCGAAGAACCAAGAATCAGGTCTCAAGTCTCTACTAAACATGCTGACCAGTTGGAAAGCTTTCACTCCTTTCTAGAATAAACAAAATGTTACTAGAGATGCATTGCAGAGAAGCATTCTGCAGAAAGCTAGTTGTCAGACAAGGCTGCTTTCCTCAGAAAGTCTTGAATCAAAAAAGAGAGAACGACTCTCTCTGAAATCCCTGTCCTGGGTAGTATTCTATCAAAATAATTCTCCATTCTTCTTAAAGACCTCAAGGTTCAGTTTAAGAGTTGTTTCCAGGATATAGAACAAACTAATCATAAAGCATATACAGGTGTGTGATACTAGTAGACAGGTAAGTTAGCAGAGCCCCTTTATCTGCATTAACTAAATAAAAAAGCCATCATAAATTGCATTGTTAAACAGCGTCACATCACTGGCAGCTTTCCTAATTTCTTTTAAGGCCCGCAGGAATACAGCACCAGAACGGATCCTGCAGACCAGTAAATCCAGCCTCCGTGAGCAGTGCCCGAGAGCACGGCTCAGTACCACGGAGCCATCCCGGAGAGCTGCCCAACGCTGGGACGCCGTCGGTGAGCCCCCGCCGCACCACCTCTGCTCCGGCGGAGGGAAACCTGACTGCGTGGCCGTATAAAACCGAGTAAAGTTGTAGATAAGGGTATGTAAAGATACAAACATGGAAACTGGCACTGTGATCTCCAATGCAAACAAGTCCTAAAGCTGTCTCTCGGCACTGACACTGCCAGCCGTGAATAATCTCTTTGCTCTAGCTGGGGCTCTCCTGTGTGCGCAGCAAAAACACACATTTAAGCACTTTGCTGCCAAGGCACTAAGAAGATCAGTTCTGAAGCCTGGGCTCTAAATACATTCACAAGCAGTCTTCCAAAGTTCAGCAGTGACTTTACAAGCACAGAACACAGCTTCAAGCCCTCCAGGGAGAAGTATGTTTGGCTCTGCGCTCGTCTGATCGGTGAGCGATGGGAGCCACAGGCAGCTGCCCGCAGAGCCTGGCGCTGCGTTAGCAGAAGGGCCCCACCAACCTCCCGCTCCTCGCCCTGTGCCTGAAGCCCAGGTCTTCCCTTCTCTGGGGTGGTCCTTGGAGATGCCACCACAGGGAATCTGGAACACAGTCTTGGCAGAGAAGTAGGG